GAAAAACCTTCCACGACTCACCTTTGCCACACTGCTGGAAATACCGTATGCGAAAACCTATAAAAAAGTGCTTTTGGATTCAAAAAAACTATGTCGGCAAAAAATGCCGCCTGCTCTATGAGGAAATACCCACTGTGCTTCCAGGACTAATTATAGGTGAACTAAAGTCTACGTAGAAAAAGTAACTTCAGATGTGTCATCTACAACCGTTGTAGTGACTGATCTTTTTCCCGCACCTCTACGGTCAGCTATAACGTAGAACGACTGGCTGAATCGAACTAGAAAAACAGTATGGGAAAGAATTTTGCTAGGCAACGCTCGGAGTGAAAAGCAATAAGTCTGCTGACTTTCACTCAGTCGACTTAATGAAGGTAGACTGAGACACATCAATCGGGCGCTTGTATGATTCATAACACAATGAATTACTACACTGCTATGTAGATGTTGTTTTGAGTTTCTATTGTGCTAAAAGACTTCCCTATAGAAGGTTAAATATATCTTCATTTCTCAATTTTATGTTCATTTTATATATTCAAATGTATAAAATTGAGAAATTTATACATTTCTCAAAACTACTATTCTTTATTAAAATCCTACTCACGACAGTTTCATCAATCACTTTTAAACTAAACTACTACTTGAATTCACGAGACAAGGCCGGATCTACCAAGATCTTATTTATTTAGGAAGATGGACACAGGAATACTTTTTAAAGGACTTCATGCGCAAAATAAAGCCCAATCATATTGAATTTAAATATATTTTAAAATAATTTGAATTATTTTTGTCGTTTAAATTTGTCTCATCCATTTTTAAAATATTTTTAATTACCTTCTTTAGCAAAATGAAAAAGAGTTATAACTTCGTTTCAACAAGATTACTGGTCGCAAAACTGATGATTAATTTTCATTTGTCTTCAAAAGTAATCGATCATCCATGTAGATAATATATTTTTTTCAACGAAAAAAAAAAGAAGTGAATACAGAACAGAATGCAAACAGAAAAAATAAACAAACAACACAGATAATAACACTTATAGCATGATAAAATCTCAACATTTCAGTAACTAGTTCAAAATTTTGATAAATCAATTTTCTGTTACATACCATGAAGATATCCATGCAATATAAAAAACAATAGTGAATACCTTGATTAATACTAAGTCTCATTCAGAAGTTGTAGAATCATATTTTTTTCGAACAATATCTTCTGTCATCTTAGAAAAAAAACCAAAGCAAAAAAAAAGCACAAACAACAAAATAGGAATGTGAAAAAAAGAAAGAAATTAGTCTAGTAGCAAAGGTAGAAAGAAAGTATTTTTGGAAAAAGTTAAATTGTTAAAATATATTAGGCAATGGAAAAATCGTCCACGCTGTTATTGACAAAACTTTAGAGAAAAGCAGGTAGTCTCAAAACAGCAATCTCTTAATATATTCACATATAAAAAAAAAAGACGTAAGCGTCTGAGAATTGAACTGTCATTAGTCACAAATGAAGTGACGTTTTGATGTGTGTAATAATTCAATACAAACGATTTGACTAATTTGCTTACGTCATAACAGATGTTAAATGTAATTACCACACAATATCTTGTTATGAAGAAAAATTATCTTGAGAAGTAGATTGTAGTCAGCGATCGCAACGTTTTGACACATATAAACAAAAGAAGAATAAAACAGGCGAGGAAAACAAAACCAAAAAAAGTAACACTTTAAAAAAAAATAAGACAGAAACAACTCTTTTTGAACAGCACAACAACGACAGCAATAACATCACAAATGTTCATTGTTCATCATTTATTTTTTCTCATTTATTTTCATGTTTGTCATTGCTGTTCCCAATACGGGGAATTCTTCTGTACTTTGAAAGTTAGGTTGAACTTTTGATGATGGTTTACGATGCGGTTTTTCAACACTACTAATACTACCACCCCCACGCTGATGTGGTGCAACATATTTTCCTTGCGTTGCTGTCGGTCCTACTTGTTGTTTTGCTCCACTTTCAACTATATTAGCCAAACTAATTTTTGTTTCCTGTTCATGTTGTTGTTGTTGTTGTTGTTGTTGATCATTGTCATTGTTATTAACAAGTTGATTCCACGCCGGCTTTTGTTGTAGCTCTTTCTGATCGCGTCTTGGTTCACCATCATTTTCATCTGCATACAAATATTCATCTTCATCTTGGTCAACAATCCAAGCATTTGGATCTCCTACAAATTGAGGTAAAACGGAGTCACTCGAATGAAAACAGTATTAACGAGAGAAACAGATTATTCGCAAAAAAAAAGAGATGAAGAAGAAATTTATTGTCTATCCAACAGTGGCCACGAATCTCTAAGTCGTAGGATAGAAGAAATTTAAATTCTGAATGTATGTAAAAATAGAGTAAACATTTTAAAATATAGAAAATATTAGGTAATCGTAAAGTATTGAGCAACGTCTTATATTCTCTTCTAAAGTACAATGACTTTAAGAGCGTCACTTTTCCTTAGGACTTTTCTGCCGCTAAATGATAGGTATAAACATAAAAGAAACTTTGCTCACCTTGAACTTTCATCCGCAATAGATTATAATCTTTACCATGTTCGGGAAATTCTTCCCATTCGTCATCCTGATTTGACGCGGTCGACGCTTTTGAATCAGATGTAGGAGCTGCTGTTGCTGATTGATTTGCCGACGTTTTCTTCTTTGATTGTAAATTCGTACCTTTCACTGGAACAAATGGTTGCGGATTAACAATAACTGTTCGGTCATCTTCTACTTTAGCATCGGAGCTCTATATCGATAAAACAAAGAAATATTAATAATGTAAGCAAAATAAAGAATAACAGAACAGCTAAAATGACAATGTAATTTCTAAGCATTAATCACGATTTTTGCATCAGATGCATTTGAAACGAAAAAATAATAGACGCTTACCGATGGATATATTTCATTGTTTAAATCACCTGTAAATAACGGTAAAGAATGATTTCCAACAAACTCTTCGTTTATTGCCGGTAAGTCCATGTCATCATCATCGTAATCCTGCTGTTCATGTGTGGTAACTGCTACTAGTTGTTTCAATAATTCTTCGTTATTCGTCAATAATTGTGACTTCGTACTTTTTTTTGTTTTTTTATCCTTTTTCTTGAAAAAATCATCTAAATCATCGTTATTGTTCGTCATTTTTGTTGTTGTTCAATATTCAAAATATAATTAAACGTATGTGTTCAAAGAAAAATATAAACAAAAATTTTCTAAAATAAAACAAACAGTAAACAGGTTAATATCCATGTAGTAAAACGTAAAACTGTTAAAAGCGTTGACTGCGATAAAATTAATGTAAATTCAAAATTCTAAGATATTAACGAGTTTTCATCATTTGACGACAAACCGAAAAAATACAGCTGCGTATATCTACTCACAATCAATGCATGAATGCCTTTTTATCACAAAGGGTCAATTTCACTCAAATTTTCAATCACGCTGTTCAACTCATTAAACATCAATGACGGAAAAGGTCGAATGTTAATTTTTCTCTGACAGTCATGCATGAGCTCCATGGATAGTCTGCTTTTTTTGCAAAGTTTTCGATTCTAGAGTTTTATGTTGTCCGTTTGTTTTGTCTAAAAATATGATTAATTTACCCTGTTGATTCTTTTCTATCAAGTTAAAAATTCGTCATTCGATTGAATCGTATGTTGTTGGTATAAAACAAGATCTCTGATTGTCTTCGTCTTGGATATAACTAAATTGATTTCTGTTATGATTTGTTGTTATTGCTGTTGGTAAATAATTATGATGATGAAGATGAGCTCTCTTTTTAGTGCTCTTAAATGTTAAAACAGAACGTGATAGTCTTGTTTGCTTGTGAATAAGCATAATCTGAAATAAGAAACGCACAAAGGAACGAAAGTTAAAAAGAAAACATTGCTTTTACTGCTACAACAAAACAAATATATACGAGAAGGAAAGGAAAAAGGAGAGTATATAACATTATACCCTCAAAAAATGAAAATGTGCATAAGGTGATGAGAAAATAGCATACGTAGAAAATGTATAGACCAATCGCTTTACTAAAGTCTGTCAGGCGTTCTACCCATAAATAGACATCCAAATAATGTTAAGTAATTGTGCAGTAACAATTTCTGATAAACAAGTAGCGGACGAAAATTGGAAATTTTTTTTTTTTTTATTAATAAAGCCGTGTATTCTAGCAGCAAATAAAAGTAATGTGATGGACGGTAATTTTGAGATGCTGGTATGAGCAGCATGACCAAAAAGTTATTTTAACTTTTCTGAATTACGTATCAAACACAAATTCGTTCTATTATAGTTAATTCATCCATAAGAACAATCAACTCAAATATTCTTACATTTCAGCTAAATCAACCTTAGCTATATTTGAATAAATAGTTTCTATTGTGGCTACACTAATTTTCTGAGTTGTTAATGGTACTCACCTAATATTTTAATTTTTTGGAGAATTACTACTAATCATTTATCAAACCTTCAATTCTACTTACAATAACGAACATATTATTGTGAAGTACTCCATTTTTGTCTGCGCATGCGTCTCCTATGCACTACAGAATAAAAGAAAAAGAAACAAAAACACCGACTTTCTCTTTCACTCTATACCTATAGAACGTTTACTACTACGAAATAGAAAAAAAAAAATCAGCATTTGATACTTTTTCGATCGTATTCTATTATGATACATTACGACGAGGCAGATGCCCAAACGAAAAAAATTAGCTGATTCATAAGGAGACAAAGAAAAGTAGATGATTTATTTCATAGCTTCGAATCATACAAGGAAACAGATAGAAGAGATTGAAATATAACTGTGTACTTACACAAAGACTTGAAACACGTATGAAGCGAAAAAATAATTGTAAAAGGTAATGCCATAAAGAAAAATAATTTCATCACCCTTGTTTTTTCAATATTTATTTATCATTTTCCTCGACTACTAGTTGTCATTGAATAACGTCACCATCTATGTTGACTTTACACAAATCACAAAAATATTGTATTGTACTACAAAATCTAAATAAAGCTGCTGATATCCGAAAATATTTTCCGTCTAAATTGTGTAACACATAAAAAATCCTTTCTAGCCTTAATGTATGGGAAATACTTTTTTAAAAAAACAAAAGATACTATGATACGATAATTAAGTACAAATAAGTATTATTAATTACGATAATTCACCTAACTGCACGCCATTAACAAGATTAACGGATAGACGAAGAAAACTGCTTACTATTTAATCTAATAAAAGTTGGAGATACACAATTAATAGATTCTTCCAGATTAAAGAAGAACATTTTGTACTAATATGACCTCTAAAGAAGTCTCCGTTTTACTCTCAGCAAATGTTTTCCCAGCATCTCTATTTTGACCAAATTCTGATGTACTGTCCGAGTACATTTTAAACTATTAAAAGATTCTACACGACTAGTTTATTATATACTCGAAAACTTTTTTCGTTAAAGTCAAAAAAAGGAAAAAATGTTTAAAAAAACAATAATTTTTATTTTCTTCTAAGAATAATTACAAAAAAACAGGGAAAAGTTGTGTTTTATAAATGGATAAATTTTCTACCATAAGCTGAAGGAGAATGAACGAATGTCTGTTAGAAAAAAAAAATGAAAAGTACTTGTTAGCTGTCTAAATCGTACACAACATCTACTGACGATGATTCAATGCTTTTTATGATCTGTTTTTTCGTGTCCATGGAAGTGTTCAGCAAATTCTTCGTCGGTCGTCTCATAACCTTCGCCATCATAACCGACAGCATTAAACCATTTGTTGAAAAACGGCGAATGTTTACCATCGCCTAGAAAAGAAAAGATACTTTAAGCTACATCCATTTAGAGTTTTCAAGCAACAGACTTATTCTTAAAAAACGCATAGAATTTTTTCCCTTTCATAGGTAAAAAGAACCAGTGGTTTTTTCTATTAGGCAAAAAACTAGAAAATTTTAAATAAAGTTTCAAAATTGAATTAATAAAAATAATTGACTCTACCAAAAAACCATTTCATTCTTGGTCTCAAATGATCCCAGTCTTTAAATTCCGGACGTTGATGATCTTGATGTACAATCAAATTCATATAACTTAATACGAGTATAGCCGGAATGGCAACAAAATATGACATATATTTCCATAAATTGCTTTGTGAAACGTATCGATCACAAAGTTCATCGTATTCGACTGGATCAATTGGTATTCGAGGAATATAATTTGGTCGAACATGTTCAGGGATGCCGGGCCATTTTTCAAGATCGCGTTTTCGTTCTTCGACCGTTAGTTGTCCGCCCGATGATTTTAACGCAAAAAGTGTGAGTACTGATTGTTGTTTTCGCCGTGCAATTAAACCACTTGCAGCCCGTGGTACAAGCGCATTGTTTCGTAAAGCAGAAAGCATATCTTCAAATACATAAGTAAACAGAGCAATTATAAATCAAATGGAAGATAGTGTATAAACATATCGATCAAACGCAAGAAGACTGCACTTACAATGACATTTCCTTTCTTACGTAGAAAAATATTATTTAATCAGGAGTTCATTACCAAAATATTTAAAGTAATTAAATTATACTGAAAAGACGGAGTTCTAATCCTTCTCCTGTCTGATTTATTCTGTAAGCTGAACTGATAGAACCTAGACTACATTTTTGTGTTTCAGATATCTTCAGTGCTAGCTAAACAATGTTTCAATATGTCACCAATAGTGTTCACTTTTGCAGAAGACCGGCAGCGAGAAACATTTCGTATGTGGATAACGCCCTCTTATGCAAATATAAAATTTTTTCAAGGCCTATGTCACTAATTTAGTGCACCAGAGAGTCTGAGGAAGATTTTCCGGAAGGATATACTCTCGTATGCGTTGCTTGGAAAAAGTAACAAACAAACCAGAAGCGTCTGGGAAAAGCCTTTTCTTTGAATTTTTAACCAATGAAACTGTGATTAGTGACACTCTAGTGAATAAAATAAAAATACTAATCACATAGTCTTATATATATTTAGAAGCTCAATTTTAATTGAAATACTTTGTAGCATCAAAAACAGTAATAATAAATTAAAGTGCATTAACGATGTAATTCTTAGCAGTTAACACAACAGCACGCAATACTACAGCTTGTATTCTATTTGCTTCAAACCGTTGTTTCTCCGACCAGTTGGCAAGCAAACGTTTCCGATTCTAGCAATTCCATCTCTCTTCATCTTATTTACGATGACAGGAAGTGGAAAAGAATAGAAAAGGATGTTGCTCTAAAAAGTTGAGTTTTAGTTTAGCTAAGCTGTTTTCCATTCGTCTTATATTATCGTTGCTTCTTACTGTGCGACAGACGTCTTGCAGTACAGTTCTTATTAGTTAAACATACGCAAACTCCTATTCTTATATGCAAAAGCTCTATGATTGCTTTTCTTCTAGATTAATGTCGACTGATTGTTTGTCAGTGGGTGCTCTAAGCGTAGGTTGATTACATTTTGAAGTATGTACATCCTTTACTATGGCTGTTTTTATAATCTTTGTCTAGCGATGTTTACGGGGTCATCAGGGCGAGAAACCTGTTGTTCAAATTCTGGTTAGTTTATGGCTTTTTTTTCTATTTCACAATATGTATTCTCGCTGTATTTGATTTAGTCTATCAAACTTATTCAAAGTACAGCTGGCGATGGTCGTGCATTTAAAAGATATCGGCTTACATTATCTGATAGCAAAAATACGTTTAACTGTATGTACATAAACCAAATTATTTTGTCATTTGTTTCAGACGTTTATTGTTTGTGTTTGTAGCGTGTATTCTTGCATCACAATGCAACGATCTGATTGATCATAATGATTTGAAAGATTATTCGGTTATTCAGTTAAATAACTTTACTTATCATTCACAAGGTCCAAAGTGAGTTTTCTTAAAAAGAAGGAAGAACTGTGCGTCACACCCTTTAAATTCGTTCTAGACCGTTTCTCACTGTATTAGATCTGACAGTATTATCAAACATGTCACAACAGATTGGTGATCCGACTCCACTACAACCCATAACAAATACGAACGTGGAAGGTAGATAAAGATGAAAAAAGGCGAATTGCTCGAAGGAATGCCATTATTGTTGTTATTTACAGACACAAATGACGTATCGCAGGCAACAAATGACGCATCATCTAGTTCAACGACGAATGGTAACATGAATAATACATCCCTTACCAATACTGCAAGCAATAGTGCACAATTTTCCATGCGATTAACAACATCTGACTCCTTTTCGCAATCCGAAAGAATAGAAGCTATTAATATGCTAACAAAATATCTGCCAAAGTCAGTTTATTTTTTCACTATTTGATTTCAATCACATGTATTCAACAGTTTGATTTTTTGTTCAGATGGACGATTCGAGCAAGAGTGAGCAATAAAACACCGGTTCGTTCATATTCGAACGGACGCGGTGAGGGAAAATATTTTAGTTGTGATTTGATAGATGAAACGGGGGAAATTCGGGCAGTAGCATTTGGTGATGAATGTACTCGATTTTACGATATGTTAGAAACTGGTGATGTATGCGCTTTTTGTTCAATTTTGAAGAGAAATTATTTCGAAATTCTTGTTATTTATTCAGATCTACTATATAACTAAAGGTATGTTAAAACCAGCCAATCGTAGGTTCAATACATTGAGCCATGACTTTGAAATGACATTGGTTGCACAAACATCTATTCGACCGTGTATGGACGTAACAAATATCCCCGACGCGCAATTTAACTTCATACCAATTAGCGACATCGAAAATAAATTACCAAACTCGTTCATTGGTAAATATTCTGGTCGATTTTCTATATTGATATGGTTATGAGTTGTATATGATTTCCATACTTGAATATGTCTTGGAAGATTTGTATTTGTAAACAAGGAGTTAATGGTTTGGTTTGATTAAGAGTAAACTGAGTGGTTCACAGAAACTCTTTTTGATATTTTCTTTCCATTCTGTAAAGGAAGAACTTTATTATTTGCCTTGCAGATGTTATTGGTGTGGTTACAAGGACGTCTGATATTCAAATAATAACGTCTCGACAATCAAATAAAGAATTGATTAAACGTGAATTAGAATTATGTGATGAGAATGGCAAAATATCGGTGACGTTGTGGGGTGAAGAGGTAAGTCATACACATCTTCATCATAAAACATTAATTTGACACGAATTTGTTGCTTTTTCTAGGCTGAAAACTTCAATGGCTCCTCGAATCCAGTTGTAGCATTCAAAAATATTAAAGTGACAGATTTCAAAAATAGTAAGCTACTGAAGACTGATATTTTAATCAGTAGTAAGATGTTTTCGAATGCATTTTAGCTTTTTCGTTGTCTTGCAATAATACACTTATAAAAATCAATCCAAATACTGCCCAAGCACATGAATTACGCGCTTGGTATGATCGGGGCAGTTATAATTTATATCGACCATCATATCTTACAACAAGAAACGAAAATTTTTCAACAAATGGTAAGAGTTTCCTTTAGGAAACTCCGCAAACTGTAAATCATGGCTATCGTTTTTCAGCAACATGGAAAACACTAAATCAAATAGTTGATGAAAAACTTGGCCTAGATGATAAACCAGACTATATAATGGTCAAATGTGTTTGTTCATTTATCAAAACAGATTCAATTGTTTACATGGTATAAGCAACAACTTGTTGTAAATCTTTAGATAAATCCGATATTTGTCTCATTTTCAGTCTTGTCCTGAAGATGATTGTAAAAAGAAAGTATTTGATAACAGAAATGGAACATATCATTGTACAAAGTGTAGTCATGACTATAATGACTTTAAATGGGCTTATATGGTACTTGTAAGTAAACGTGAATGCAAATAAACCAAAGTATAATAAATGCGAATATGTTTTTTTTTATAGGCTGAATTATCTGATAGTACGAGTTCCCAATGGACAGTTTTTTTTCAAAACGAAGCTGAAGCTCTTTTAGGCATTAGCGCTTCCAAATTTGGCGAGGCAAAAATGAATGTACGTATGTGAGCGTCTGTTTTTGACTCCAAGTAATAATCATCTATTTTATTATTGTTTTAGAATAACGATAATTTTGTTGAAGATTATTTATCGAAGATAACTTTCAAAGAAAAAATATTTCGTTTGCGAATTAAAGCTGAAAATTTTAATGTGAGTAGAGATGTGTGCACTTTGAATTACAGAATCAGTTGTTGTTGTTGTTTTTGTTACTTCAGGACGAAAGACGAGTACGTGTATCATGTATTGGTGTATATGATATTGATCATGTTGATTATACTAAAAAGATGCTTGATTTTATATTATATTGACATTTATTGTTAGTCATTTTTCATTTCTGTGAAAAGATTGTACAGTGTCTTGTGTAACTGTGTTTGTGTGTTTTTATTTTATTTTATTTTATTATATTTTGTCAATTTTAGTTGTACTTTTGTTTTGTACATTCATTTGTTTAATTTATTTATTTAATAATTTAATTAATGATAAACTTGTTCGAATAGGTTGGTTCATTTTCAATATTTAGCTCCGTTCATATTATTAATTTCGAGTATGGAACATTCTTTTCATTTATTTTGCTGTTTTTCAAGTGAGGATCATAGTACGTTTTTCAACCGACGCTTGATTGGAAAGGCGAAGGATTTGTTAAGTTATCGATTTGATACTTCATTCCTGGTTCTGTTAACTATAGCCTTATTTATGTTCTAATCTAGAAAAAAAAGAGATATTACAGGTTCTAGTAAGTGTGTAAACCGTTGTTTAGGTTATTTTCTTAATCATGCAAACAATACGTTCAATTGTCATAGAATGAAATTGATCACTAATAAAACAGATGAAGATAATCAAAATAGATGATATCATCCTATATTAACAAAAATATATTTTCGTATATATTTATCATGTGATATCTTTTATAATCTAATCTGATGTTTGAAACGTTTTTTATTTTCATGTAAATGGAGTATGTATGTTGGAATCACAATTAAATTCATTAATCGATGATAGTGAATTTAAACAAAAAGTTCAATTGTTCGAATCGGGCTTTCCGATTGTTCTTAGGGATAGCAGGTGCTAAAAAATTTTGGTTCGCAGAAAATGGTTGACAAAAAAAAGTTGTCAATTCGAAATTTTTGACAGAAAAACGTCAACCATTTTGGCAGAAAGTTCAAAAACTTTTTTTGGGAGAGGAAAGTATTTTTCACATACTTTTAGTAATGAAAACATATTTTCGTTCTATGTCTTTTATCCCTTTAGTAAAATTGTCAGCACGTGATACTAATTAGACGCAGTAAAAGCGAGCATGTCATTAGCATGTCATTTAAGTACTGAGACAAAAAAGGTTCATCAATAGATCTTTTTTCAATTTTTCGCACTTAAGAGACGTTCCTTGCTCTTGTTACCAAAATGGCCTTTAGACAGACAATGCATTATCAATTTATGATCATGAAATTATAAAAATATTTTTGTATCTTTAGATTTGTTTTTATGATCGTTGATCTAAGTGTCGTACTTAATACCGCTGATACATCAGTGATCCTGTTGTATTATTGTTAACTAATATTGTAGACAATAATATAATGAAGTCTGAACGTATGTGATTTTGCTTTTCTGCTCTTGTGCTTGTCAGTGTATTTTGTGTTATTTAGTTCGAGAGGATGTTTTTGTAACAAATTGAAAATTAAAAAAGTTTTATTAATAAAAAAAGAGGGTGTTTCAGCTTCGATGTCAATTACTATGTTATTCCTCAAGGATCGAATGTATTACTAATAGCCGATCGTATTGTTGATGGTAAAAAAGGTGTTGCTAGTAATAATAATAAAATGACTAATAATTGGGCAAAACCAGAGGAAATATTTGCCATTGCCAATGTCAAATCTGTATCAAAATCAGTGAGAACAATTTCTACTACAGAAAATAATCTGTTATTTTCCTTGTTCATATTATAGATGGATAATACTAGCACGTATTAAGAATAAAACAGCTGTACGAACTTGGAAAAATGCATGAGGTAAAGGCACGGAAGGGTCCAAAATACGGTAGTTTATAAACATTTATAACTCAACTTTTTTCGGTCAATTTTTCTGCGAAAAACTGTTTATACACCCATTTATAAATCAATTTATAGCTATTTCGGACATTGCCAAAATCATTTCGGACTCTTCAGTAGGTAAATGATAATTATTGTGAAATGTACGATGAAATATGTTATGATAGAGATTGGTGATGTATGTATAGTAATTGACTGAACATTCTCATTTGTATTATAATTATTATAATGATATTACATAACAAAACTATATTCACACTTGCCGAAATTATTTGAAATCTTTAGACAGAATTTTCATATTATGTTTATTAATATTTTTCCTTTTACATTTTTTCTGTTGTATTTATATTTTTCTTCGAGAAATTCCAAGATTTTGAATAAGCATGCATTATTTACTTTTTCTCATAGATATGTAAAAATTTTTCCATGCGAGATTTGTATACTTTTAAAATAAAAATTAACTATGAAATTTAGTTACGAAATAAAAAAATTAAACTAATTGTTTGCTCTTCTACTTTGGATGGTATATGCATAGTTGATTTATGTATTGACTCTACATCTGTGGAAAGAGCTTACTCGTGTTTTGGCTTGTTCAGTGATGCAACTACTGAAGAGGAGAGAGAACATTGATCTTGGCCCAGTATAATGTTATGCCTAAAGCTATACCACCGCTGAACAACGTTCTAAAAAATAGATAGTATGAAAGCGAGATACAGATTCAGATTAAAGCAGCATGAACTAATTCTTGTATGTGATAGTAAGATAAATTTTCTATCTAACCACAAAATGTTGATCGAAATCTACCGATATTTTTCTAGTTGTGCGGACGACTCCATAATCTGTTACTTCTTGTTGCGCTGGTAGTTGAATTGTACAAAAAACGTTTTCGAGCAGGTACGAGCAAATATCAAAACTTTGCAACGGGTCTGAAAAAAAATTTTAAATTGAATCGACGTTTTTTTTTTTGTTCCTGCCTTGCAATCGTCATAAAAAATGTATAAAAAACAAAATACAAAACAATTTGCAACAAAATTGAGAAAAGGAAAAAACATCATCTATTTACAAGTTGTTCATTCGTAGATATTCAAAACACGCATATTTGACATGAGAAATACAAGTACATGAGAAACTAAGAAAAGTAGTATTGAGAAGGTCGATTAACAGTTCGAATCGCATTAGAGTTGTGAAGTAACATCGAAAGACGGGTCAATATTCTTACAGGTGAGCAAAAACACAAAAGTACAATACATCATAGCGTTAAACAAAAACTGAACGAAGTTTCTAAAAGAAAAGTAGAATAGTAAGTAACTTATGGCACTGATTTCACAATAGTTAAAGCTTTATTTAAAATACTTTAGAAGTGTCTACGATATTTCTCTAATATGTTTAATTATGAAAAGGAACAATATTGCAAATGAGAAAGGAAAATATTTGTGAGAATATGTACGTGTAGCATAGCTGTATAAATTATTAATTGTTTGACCTTGTGATAGTAAGGCTTTTCCAATTGTATAGACAGCATAACTAGGAGGATAGACATTGAATGACTGTACCATGCCATTTATAGACAAATCACCACAACATGTCACCATGTAATCTAGTAGAAGAAAAATATATGATGCATTTTAAAATCTGTACTGTTGAAAAAATACAGTGTATGCAGTGTAAGTTAGCGGTGGACAGGTGTAAGCTGAATGAAAGTTCTCTCTTTCTGAAAAGAATAAAATCTTACTTTGATACGCCATTCCTTGATTAGTTACTAGAATAAAACAACATATATTACCGTATTTAGACATCTTAATGAAAAAAACATTGAGATTCTTACGTCCTTGTGATTGTGTTGCGCCCTGTAAACTTTGAACAGTTATCTGATCACCACTGAGAGCTCGACAAGATTGCGGACCAGCGTAAGATTGATATCCCGTATTGTAGTTACTTTGTCCTGTGTAATAATTTGTTCCACTCACCACACCTGTATTATAATTTGGATTTCCATTTGACGTATCGTATTGCATATTCGCTGTACCATTATTCCAAGTTTGGGGTGGATTATTCAAATAATTAAAATTGAAATTGCCAAAGTAAGTGCCATTATAGCTTGGATATTGTGAATTGGGTTGGCCGTAGCCTCCAAGTGTATAAGCTAAAAATGAGAAATAATTTATGTCTTAGGAATAAAATCACGTTGGCAGAATGCTCTATGGTACCAACCTGGATTGTACAGTTGATTATTTCCGCCATAAGGCGACGGGGCAGCTGGATAACCACCATATACCTGTTGCTCCGGTTGGAAATAACCAGGACCAAGGTCAGAAGTTCGTCCACCGCTAGATTGTTGATAACTTGTATTTCTTACTTGAGGAATGAAACCTGCTTGTGCATTCGCTTGAGGTTTGTCACCCCAGTTTTGACCACCCTGTAAATCCTGAAACCATGAATGATCTTGTCGTCGTTTCCGTTTTCTAATATGAATAGCATGACGCCGTGGTCTTAGAGCTGTTTGTGATGCTTGTGGAGTTTGTTGTGGACGTTGCATTTCCCCTTTTGCCTGTTGCCGTTGCATCATCACTGCAGGCACTGCAGGTTTGACTTGTGATCGCTGTTGGCTGTAAAATCCGCCAGATCTTCTTGCGATATTGTTTGTTAACGGATCAAGTAAAGTATCAGCACATATGTGTCGTTGAACAAACTTAAATAAAATAATGATATAACTTTACACAATTTACGCTTTTTATAATATACTTGTCTCAATTTGTTTGTATTTGTTGTGACACCAATTTGTGCTAGAGCTGCATTAGTTGGTATGAACAATGTATAAGATCTTCCAGAATTTTTTAATTCATTAATAATATTTGTTTGTTGTAAAAATTGGTTAAATAAACTAGAAAAAAATAGCATAACCATTGGATAGATCGGTTGTTCTTCTAAAGATGTGAAGCAAACCTTGCTCCTTGTAACTGGTTTAAAACAGCGTCTAAAGGAATAACAACACCCGATAATAGCCCTCTAATGACATGCATTACACCATTTCGAATTGGTATATTTGATTCTGAATTGAGAATGGTTGCTTGAAAAGGAGGCGAATTTGCCGGTCGTCCAATTAATGTTACAACTATAATAATACAATAACAAGAAAACATAGTCATATAGTTGCTTTCTTCAGTTGAACACATACCATTTCCATTTGGACCATAACTAACTTGAGCTTGAATGGTAAAACTCTGATCATATGTCTGATACGTTTGTCCATCTTGAAATATTGCATAAGACTGATACATGGGAGATTGCTGATAGGGATTTCCAGCATTCACCGGAAATTGAACTGGCGGTAGTTGTTGTGATCCTTGAGGAAGATTATTTGGCTGTTGCTGAAATAACTCTTGACCGCCTTGGACTGGAATTTGTGGATAACCTTGCGATGGGTTTTGAATAAATCCTTGTTGTTGTCCTTGTTGAGGTAGAAAACCAGGCTGTTGAAATTGGGGATTGATGTTTGGATTGACTTGTAGTTGCCGTCGTTTCCTCCTTGGTTGATATTGTTGCCTATTTGGAAGTTGACCTGATCGAAATGGAGGATTTTGAAATGGCTGTTGCATTTGATTATAAAATTGACCTGATTGAGCATTCGATGGCATTTGATCGGTGTAAACCGGTAGCCTTAATATGTGACGACGTAAATTCTACAAAGAAAATTCGAAATATCGCTTTGATTATAAATTTATAGTGATCAAGTATATATCCGAACCGTTGAAAGCTCTTGTGAATTGCCCAATTGACTAACAGACATTTGTTGAGGTATGAGTACAGTGATATTCAATTGATTAAATGGATTAAAGTAATTTGGATTATTTCCTAAACCAACTGTTGAACCTTGAAGCAAATTTAATAATTCTGTATCCCCAGACTGTTGAACAAGTGCCATGAAATATCTATAATATGTTGACACCTTAACAGTGTACAATATTCATCGTATTATAAATAAAAAATGTTCTTACTGGTAGCTTCTTGCTAGTTCATCCGCTGCTGATCGGGCTGGACCACTTAAAATGTTGTTTATGGGGAAAACGAGTCCATTACCATAAAACTTGATATCTTCTGGACGTGATGTTAGAATACGAGCTATTTGACGAGTAGCTACCACATCAACTTAAATAGAAAAAACAATTAAATATATATCTTGGCTTACATGTTTTGTATGTACATACTCTGAAATGTGGTATCTGGTTGTTGTACTTTACGAAATGTCACCCATTTTCCACTGTTTAATGTCATTAATTGTTTTGTACTATCCATGTCACTCGGAAATACAACCAATGGTACCGTATGAGCTTTCAAAAACTAAAAAACGAATAATAAGCGATTTTCATCCATCTTCTCTCTGCTCTTTTTATCCATCAATTCATACGTCAACAACGTCTTGTGTCGTGTTCATAAATGCTGGATCAAAAAAATAACTTAAACTACTGCCACTAGTTTGAAATGCTTGATCTGTAGGCAAAAACCACGTTTGATGATATTGTGAACGTAATTCAGCTCGTAGATAATCATTACGTGCAGCTAATTGTCGTAATTGACTAAATAACATTAAACATAGGAATAGAAAATACTTTCAAAAAATGAGAACTTACGAAAACGAATTATCTTCTAGAATATCATAGGCTGTTTTATATTGAGTTTGATCACGACGTTCAGGTGGCCATAGAATAGCATCAATAACGTTAATTACTCCACGGCTCATTATTCGCGTTTGAAGAATAAACGCATTATTGATCGTAGGTTTCTAAAATTGAAAATGTGATAATTCAAGAGAGAAACTCTTTTCAGAAAGGTTTTTTCTATATCGAACATCCGATCTACACCGTACTTTTAGGGGTATTAAAATCCGTCTATCTTTTCGCGTCATTTTTTTGTGTGACTTTATTAGATTTTTCAAACAAAAAACGACTTATTAAGATGCGTGTAAGAGTTCTAAAGAAAATAGTATCGTGTATTGCAGTTCGAATACAACAATATTGCTGGGAAGATATTCAAGTAAAGAATAGTTAGATCATTTTCCAGTAACGACTATCTTTCACTCAAACGCTCATTACTCTTCAACGACGGTTGTTAGAGCTAATTTGTATCTTCTTTTAAAGAGCACAGTCAGTTTGACAGTTCTGTATAGTTTGTCAGTACAATTTAGCGTATACACTTTGAAAAGCACAGATCTTTTAAAAGTCTTTTATCTCAGGCTTTTTTGAAATCTTTTTAAAGAAAAAGGGAGTCTATTGTATTAAACTTGACACCAATTCTGAAAGTAGACACTCTGAGCTATTCGAATGCATGCACATCTCAATACCGAAATTTGAAAGGTGATTGTCGATCATATGGGTCTCCTGATATATAATTAAGATAATCAGAGAAGGAACTATGACCGAAAAATAATGATTTTTTTTTCAAATTTGTCTTGTAATTACTTGAACTCCGATTCCTCCTTGCATCATTTGATTGTAGTTTACATTCATGTTATTATAATTTTGATTCACTGTCGGTCCACCACCCACATAACCATTTTGTAACTGACTGTTTGTATTTGGATTAAAAATATTTGTATAATAATTTGTTAAATTTGGAGGAAATAAATTTGGATTATTCGATGCACTCGAACCTTGTGCAACAACATAATTTTGATTATAATTTATTTGATTATTCCAACCGCCCGCTTGAGGACTATTGTACCGAGAGTTTGGATAATTATTCACGTTTGATTGATTGAACGCCGAATGCGTTAACCAACTAATTCCACCGGAGCCATAGCCAAAATTTGTAAAATTATCCAAATAGGGACCTGAACCACCGTAAAATCCATTACCATAAAATACCTTTAAAATGTAATAGAAAAAATGAAATTCATATATAGAAGTATATTATTGCAACTTACTTGAAATGGTAATGCCATTGTTGGTAAATTATTTTGTGGTCTCTGATCGGCTAATTGTCTTGGTGCTGCTTGATTAAATTTATCTGTTGCCATATTAAATAGCACTTGATCAGTGTAGCGACCAGGAACAATATGATATTTCCAAAGAATACTAGGATCTTCACTTTTACTACTCAGTCTTGCCATGGCATCGTTGGTAGGTGCAAATATAGTTATTTCACCAATACCATATTGTCCACCACCTTGTAAAATCATCTGAAGTTCTGGTTGACGAATGACTTGTTGATAAAACTGAAAAGTAAAACAAAATGAACAAAACATAGATTAAATTACTTGAATAAAAACTTTTCTTTATTGTACCTGAGATAGATCTTGCATCGATGCCAAATCTTCAATTGGACCTCCATTGACACTCGTCGATATGAACAATATCAAATAAATCAAAATGATTTTTTTACCCATTTTAAAAATTAACAAACTGAATGAAAATTCAGGTTATCATTAAAGAATATATTTTTTTAATAATCATCAAATCAAATATGCACAAAGGTGTGATAATAATTTATAAATTTATTTTACTCTCAAAAATAAAGAGATATTAGCACTTTGGTTTCTTTATTTTATTTACCGAATGACTTTAATGACTAATACTCTCTCTCTCTCTCTCTCTCTCTCTCTATTGAGTCAAATCGACTTTGTCCAAGTTCAACTCGCCAGAGAGAAAGAAAAAACACAAAGTGTCTTTTATGAGCGTATTCAACAAAAAAAAAGAAAAATAGAGAAATCTCAATATCATTGCAAACCAACCAAAGGTAAGCAACAACTAAAAGTAGTTTACAGAATCGGACTACATATTCTTTTTTTCTCTTCCCTGCTTCTTCTTCTTTTTCTCATTATTTGCTTTAAATCATTTCATATAACAACACGGGACAACAGATTAAATATATACGTGATATGAAAAGAGAAGTAATAATAGAGAGACAGAGCATAAGTATACAGTTATGGGTATACAGAGAAGAAATGGGTGCAAAATGGAGAAAGAGTTCTAACTATTCAATCTCTAAAGTGTATATACGGTACGGTACGATAATTTTTTTTTTCTTTCTTTAAATTTTCAAATTATAAAAAAAAAAAAAAAAAAAAAAAATTGTACAAATTTTTCGTCTATGTCTTAGTTAGTTCCTGTGTCTATCTCTTATATTTTGCTTTTGTTCTATATATATGTAGGGACCTATGACAGCTGACACGTCTGTGAAACTTTTGGTGTGTTGTTGATAAATGGTGTATGTATCTAAGAACGACAAGAAAAAAAAAGAGAGATATAATCAAAAGTTTTGGAAATAGATTTATATCGGTATTATTTTGTTTAATGAAAAACAATGAGTTGAACAAATGTCAAATGATTGTTACAAAAACATATGAAAAAAAAAAACTTGTGTAGAAGAAAGAAGCGATTATTTGACATACATAGGTAGAAAAATTAAATATACATTTATAATTATAGATGACCTGAAATAATCGAAAACGTTTAACACAAAAAAATAATTCAAATTGAAGCGATAATGTTAAATTATTGTTATTTTTTGCAAGTATGCTACAGTCTCTCGATTTTCTGTTGTTTGGAATGAGATAAACTTCATTATGTTCAAATCTTTGTCTATTTATATAAAAATCGAAATTTTTGTGTTTCTCAGTAGTTTATCTTTTAGAATATTACAACAGTATTCATTTCGTCTATATTCCGAAAAGCTTAAATCAAATATATCATCCTGACATTTAATGAAAATTGAACATATACTAGAAACTATTTCGATAGATTATATATGAATTTGTAGACTCTAGGTGACGTGGCAAACTTATATTATAAAATAAACCAATTTTTATTTTGATGAACAAAATAACAATGGATGTTGAGAGTAAAGAAACGTTTCGGACTACGAGATCTTATTTTTATGGATATGAAGACATAATATTGATGGATGCATCATGAGTTTTTCTTCGAATACTTATATTTTCGTTGATAGCTGCACTTTAAAATTAAACATCAATCTGATTTCGAGCCATCATCGATAAAACGGTTTCCTAGAAAAAAAAATGTGCGAAAGAATTTAAATTCAATTGGACTTCAGTTTTTCTGATATTGGTTGGTTTTTAGAAAACTATTGCAGAATACAGTAGTTAATCTAATTGTGTGATCATAAAGACAAATTGATTACCTCAAGACGTATTCTGGCTGAAATCTTTCGGCAAACTAAGTGTTCTTTGATGTGCTTTATAACGGGACACAAATTTGTATCGCTTGACATGTGATCGTAAATGATTCCAAAAACTTTGATTTTCAGTTTAGTACAAAGCTACGTACTGTATTTGGTTCGTAACAATGACACTTAAATCATTTCTGTTTATCATTTGTATCATGGAACGTCCTATGACATCATTCAAATTTTAATTTTTGCTTAGCAAGACTGTAATCATTGAAATAAAGCTGTATATTAGAAGAAAATATTATACTCTTACTATTGACCAAATTCTTATAAAAGCGTATTCGTTCCGTATTTTAATTAACCTACTCATTTTCAATATTATTATTCGTGTAGAAGTCGAAATTAGACGATGACTGCTGAGTCCATTACCGTATTTTTGAATACTTTTTTTGATATCGTATACGCAAAGATGACATGTGATACAGTTACTTATTCTCCATGTCATTCCAACGAACAATAAATATTTATTAACAAAAATTACGTTCTTCTTTCTTTTTAGAAAACTCTAATTATTGTGACAAGTCTTCGTAGAATAAACAATGTGCTTTTATATGCGAGGACTGTATAATCATATGTTTACTGACTACCAAACTCGGATAGAATTTAGAAAAAAATTATTTCCAATTTGGCATTATTACGTATTTTTTTTTTGTACATGACATATTGTTGTTTTTCGATTAACTTATCTCTTATGATAATTTGTACTCAATGGTAAATATTACTCACCAAAATGTTACAAATCTGACATTGCTGTTCTTCATCTTGAATAGGAGAAACATTCCTGATGTAATATTTTGTAAAAGAGTAAAGATATATGATAAAATCATGATTACCTTCAAACCAAATTATATACTTTATTGTGAAGTCGTATAGCTATCCTAGTCAAACATGCTATCTCATTAGATTAGGCCAGCTCAATTGAGTCAGTGTAATCTTTCTGATGATACAAATCTTTTTCATAACTGACCACACAAACCTTTTTAATGTGACAGCAATTCAATTTTTCAAGTAATTAAAACAACATTTAAGGAATAGCAGCGCTTTTTTGGTACAACCATCCTAAAAATCTCAAAATGTTTGTTTTCATAAAAATACTCCACACTTTAAAAACACGAGTGAGGTTTCAGTTTTCTAGAAAATTCATGAAATCAAACCATATAATTTCCTCATGTGCCCCGTATTGAGTTCTTCACGAATTCATCAATTTTTCAAAATTTCCAAGACATCTTTGAAAAACTGAAGTATATAGTATCAATTTTTTGTTTGTATGATTTTTGAGTTGTTCAGAAATTTTAAAACGACTTTTCAGTGTTGGACCAATGATGAATTTCATTGTTTTACAATTATTTTTCAGCTTGGAGAAGATCATACGTTTTGGTTTCATGAGTTTTCTAGAAAACGATGAACTCACTCATTTTTTACAGTGTAAGATACTTTTATCAAAACTATGTTTAACAACTCTCTCTTTAACCTTTACTTACTAGTATTTCTGAAATTTTTTATGAAAATAAACATTTCGAGATTTTTAGGATGATTGATAATAGATGTTCACATTAATTTCCGAGATTTACCAAACAAACCTTGCTAGATTAGTCTACATACGTCATTTGAAAAATGCTGCGATCTAGTTTTACTCTACGTGTGGCAAGCCAATGAAAACTAACTTCGATAGTCTTTTATTTTCTTAATGAGTTTAATAGCCTAGATTGTTTATTGTAACAATCTTGTATCATTTAGTAATATGATAGATTTAGTTAATTGCATATTAGCAGTATTTATTTCTTTGTTAGTATTTAACAAACAAAAACGGTTAAATCATTTCATTGACACATTAACAAATCAATGAGTTGATATAAAACAGACTGTCTTGTACATGTATGCTCGTTAGATACTTTTTATAAAGATTATTGACAGATAAACTGGTACACACAAATAGGATGTTAACATCATAAGTTGATATCCAGAAAAGATATTTGTATCACTGAATTTTTTCTTTAATTTTATATATTCTAGAAATCTGTATACAAAAACAAGACGTTTTACAATAATTTTATTTACGTTTGTTCTATCAAAAGTATACAGTAGATTAAAGACCCCTCTTAGGAAAAAACTTTGTTGTCTTACATCTAGAAGGTATATCTTTTATACAGCTAGTTTGTCTTATCAACCAAAGATCAAATGTGTAGTGTCAACCAATACGAAATGAAAATAGTATATGATTTATTAATGTAGACCGGTTTTGCTGACGCTATCAGCAAATATTTGTCATATCAAAGTATGATTATGAAATTTTTTTTTCTTCGCTATCTCTTATCGTTCTGGGGTTTTCCAGAGTCCAAGGTCCAAAAACTATCCTCCACTGTGAGACACTTTGTTTAAATATACTTCAAGCTAGAGATCTCGGATTGATTTTATTTTAAACTAGACACCAAACTGTGTGGACTGATGGGACCAGATTTTTGATTTAGGTCTTTATTCGTTTTCTAGAGGTCAAAAAACCCAAAAAACCCTTTCGGGTTTTCCGGAGATCCTTGATTTTCTAGAAAACTAAGGTCTAACTCAAAAATCGGCTCCCATCAGTCCACACAGTTTGGTGTCCTTAAGAAAGACTTATGAAAATAAAAATAAAAATGTTAGAATCACTCTCTCAACTTTGTTGTTCATTAGTTCTCACCATTGTACTATTCGAGTCCATGGCGGTTGACGTTTCTTCAGATATGTTTTCACTTTTCGGGTTTAAAATTTCATCTGTCTTTGTATAAGTAAATAGAATTTTGATTTCAAGCAACGTTAACAATTCTTCTAGTTTAAGTGTACGATATTTAAGTACTTTCCACTCTTGTATTGTACAATATGATCTTGCTCTCCATCTAAATTCCTGTTCTCGAACTAAATATTTTAATGATGTTTCTTGAATAAACAATTTTTTGATCGTTTCTTTTTGTAATTGACGATCTGCTCTAGCAAACTCAATAAATCCTTTAGCATCGTGTTCAGATAGAAATATGTGTTTCTGTAATTCAAAATCACGTTCTAATTGATCGATTACTTGTTTAGGAAGCCAATGATTTAATTTTTTTCGAATTAAATCATGTACAGTAATATAATCTTGTGTTTTATACATGATTTTTTTAAATATTTGTTCTAATTTAGACCACATATGAATTCGTGTAAAAAATCGTTCAACATGTTGATAGAAAAATGGACAGAGTGCAATAAGTAGTTGTTCTTCAAATTCTTTTCGCCGTCGTTTAACCTCTTCATACGTATCTATTATAATAGCTAACAATTGATTGAGTAATGCAAATACAATAAAAAAGATGTAACTAAAAAAATAGAGTGCACCAATAATAGGACTTGCATTAGAAATTATTTCATAATCAAAATCGCCAAGTACAATGCGAAACATTGTAACGAACGCTTGGCCAAGAGTTGAAAATGATGATATTTTTGTACCTAATACTAGATTACCAAATTGAGCATAGGCTATCAAAATGGCAATGTACATGGTAAGAAATCCGAGCAAATCTCCGATACATAGTTTGAGTGTTGCTTTAATATAAATTAAATTTTTAAGAATATCGGCATATTTAAACATACGAAGAAAGGCAAGTGATGTTAAAAATGCCATTAGCGTGTCAAATGTATTTTGTATACGAATGACAGATAGAATCATACTATCAAACGCGATATCATGCACCGATGTCTGATCGGCTATGACAGTATTCACAACAAATAAACGTCGAAAATTTGATAAAATAACACAACCAGATAAAATCAATATGATCTAAAGCAAAATTAAATACTAAATATATTATAAGATACGGAGTAGCTTTCTAGTTGATTACTCGAGAATACTTTACTAACAATTTAATAAATACATTTTTATACTTACGATATCCATTATATTCCATAACTGAATCAATGATGTTAGTTTTAATTGTGCTATTTTTATTATTACCACAGCTAAATAAACGAATGTAAAAACGACACAAACAACTTCACATCCCAGAACATAAAACTAAAAGAAAAATCGTCTATCATTGTTAACTTCGAATAGAAAATCATACAAAAACAGTACCTGAGGTAATGTGATATATCGCATTAATTGCCGTGTTTCAATACGATATTGAGGAAATATCCCACCAGTTGCGGATAATTCAATAGCCAAAGAAACATAGCAAAACTAGAAGAAAACACAAAAAAAGGCACAGAGAGAGAGAGAGACAAAGTATACATCCAAGTGAATATTTGGCCAAAACTCGAAAAAATATTTTTTTCAGGCGACCTTCGATATGTGCTCTATTTAATGGCATAAAAATTGTTGTTTCAGGTACTATAGATCTCATAGGCAAAGAGTAGCCTGAAAACACAAGCGCATGACATAAAAATTATTAGTTTTAATTTTTTCACAGAGTTGAATCTAGTTCTGAATCTAGACTTTTTTAGCTGTCTAGTAGTGAAGAAATTTCTCACTGTAGATCTATACGCGCGGAGCAATAGCATTAGTTTTCAAACCAAGCGGTTTTCCATACAGCTGTTATCAATATGAAATTCCCAAAATTTTCCAACTTTTAAACTGGTTCAGAAGTTACACACATGTTAGTCTGTCTATCCTGCACCAATGCAGATAGCATAAAATACCATAAACGTTTCTGGAGCATACGTAAGTTTTCCGAAAAGATCCGATTTTGCAGATGAAACCCATTCTTGTCGGTCTAGAAATGTTTGTATTGAAAACTAAGATTATATTTGGTCTCAGTGCGTCGAGTTACATTGAATTAGTTACACAATAAATATTAGTATATTCAATTGATCGAACAGATATCAATCCAAATTTTTACCAAGGAATCAGCAAGACCAATTTTCCGAAAAAAATGATTTTTTTCTAAAGATGTTTATTTTTTCTTGAAAAGCATAGAAGATGAGTAAGTAATGATAATTATTCATGAAAAATTAGGGTTTACGAATGAAACATTCTGCATGTCCGTTTATTATCAGAAAAATATTCACTGTGTGTGAGAGAGAGAGAGAGAGAGAGAGAGAGAGAGTTGTTACTAGAATAATCAAAAATACTTACTAGATTTGTACTCGGATTATACGTGATAATATCGATAAATACTGCGCGTGTCGCTCTATCAATCCATTTTTCTGCTTGTAAATAATTTAATTCTTCAATAATACGCTTAATTTTTCGGTTGTATGCGCCTAATTCAACCACATACCCTTGCCGTAAAAGCATAAAACTAATTGATATTAAGAGATAAACTAATGGTACATGTTACCTCCTCCGTTGTATGTAGCAAATTTTCCTCTATAAGTTGCACTTTGTGTCAAATCAGAATTTTCATATTTCCATGGTCGTTTTTTAAATACAAATCGTTTTTCTCGAAACGAACGATATTTCAGCGGACCAACTAAACAAAAAAAAGAACAGAAAAGAAAGAGTATTGACTATAAGATAAACACTAAATGTATGAATAACAATTACATGGTTCTTTGTCTTCATTTTTTTGATTATAGATACCATAACAATCTTTGATTTCATCTTTAAAACTTTGCTGAACATTACATTCTTCTTTTTTCACTCGCACTTGACGTATCCTCGGCATACCGATTAATAAATTATGATTTAATACATAACGCATTGTACGATTAAGATTAATCAGTTTATTGTACCAACGATAAGATCCAAAATAAACGTCAATCAATGGCTTGTATAAGAATCGCCAAATCTAAAAAAGAATCAATAATATTATTATCAAATAAAACAGTAATTCTTCTACTAATCTACTTCTCCAATAGTACTGATTTGTGTATAGTTAATAGCAAAATTATTCTTGTATTTTAGAATACTTTCTGGAAAAACTGGCTGTTCATTTTCTCTGTCGCTCATCGTACTAAAATCCATTTGAAATTGTGCATCAATCAGGTGTTGTTTAAAACTGTTTGCTAGACGATAGGCTTCCGGAGTGTACATGACGATACTGACAATCAAAATGTTGATTAAAAATAATCCATATAAACATAATGTTCGTAATGCATATTTTACTTGACTATATTTCGAACGTGTATTTGAGTGAATTTGTTCATCAATTGAATAAAACAGTAGAACTTTGGTAATTTCTTTGTATGTTTGACGAATCTTTTCCAAAATTAGTCTTTTAGTTGATGTCACTGTGGACAATTTTTTATTTTGACATCTGTATAGGGCGGTATTTTGTTGCAATTGAGAGTAGCGATTGCTTTGTGTTGTTGTGTCAGTAACAGTTGTCCATGTGTCCTCATCATTTTTATCTGGTTGGTGTGTTCGATTTATATATACTTTTTTAGTAGATTTGTTATTTGTAACTGTTAATCGATCATTCTGTTTAGTATCAAGTGACCAAGCATTTGATGACTGAATAGAAGAGAGACGCATTTAATAGACCGTAATTAATGATTTGTGCAGATAACAATCTCGGCGCCTAACTATTGTTTGTGCAACGGAGATCGTTACGTTAACATTTCCAGATCATCATCAATTGTTTATACACACGAACTCCTAGGTGGAGCAGGTGGAAGGTTTGTAAGTAGCTAGATATACTATCCCGAAATCCGTCATTATTACTGGATGAATAACTACATCAAAATATGTCTGATCAGATGAGATTTCCAATATCCGAAATTACTAAAAATCTCAAATTTTTATAGTAGGGCCTGTGAAATTGTACCTTAAGTATTGGTGGATTATAGACCGAGTTTAGATTAGTTATATATCGTGAAACAACAGCCACAGATAGGAACCACGAACCAAATACTAGAATAAAACTTTTTTCTTGATTTTGATAACGTTAATTTTAATAGAATGGTCAAGTGACTATCTATGCTTAATTAAGTTCATTTATATTCAATTACATATTGCTGAATGATCAATAAAATCAAACATTCGGTTAATTGTGACGAAAACAATGTAATATATTTTCAAATCAGTATTTTTCAATATTTGACTTGTTTATTAATGAAAAGTAATCCAATGCAGATGTATTTTGCACACTCAACGATGTTACCACTTCAACGTCACCATGTGTCGACAAATTATCTAACAATCAGCGAAGTGTCACGATTGCTGACACTTTTAATTTAACAAAATCTAACAAAATCTAGAACCATTATTGATCAAGAAGATGATGGTCTGATTCTTTATCAAACCATTGAAGTATTTAATTATTCTCACAATTGATTATTGAAACTTGTTTAATTATTTATTTATTTAAATTATTGAAACTTGCCATGATCATAAATAAATTTTGTATCAATCGAAGTATATTTACTCTTTTCATGTCTAACAACTTATATAATAGAAAATATTTACGTTCAGGGGTGTTAATCGGTGTTGTAAGAATTATTGAACAATTAAATGAGTGAAAAGTGCTGAATTTGCACAATATAAAATTGAAGCACGCCAGATTATTGTGCTACATTTTTTTAACCCTCCTGCCGTTTTTCAAAGCTCTTGTTGTACGATTTGTTGACCTGAGTAATTCATATTAAGCAAACCAACATTAAAACTATGTGTTGAATTGTATTATTAGTATTAATGGGCAAAGTAATTTAAAATTTCTATGTGTATTGAAGATTTATCCGGTTTTTAGCATGTTCATTTCCGTTTCAACTGCAGTTAGATCATTTGGTACTGAAAAGGTATATCTGTTTCCATCTCATACTTAACATTCACGCCGTTCTTTTCTTATGCTGTGAAGACTCAAGTTCCCCCATTTATGACTTAGCATATCGAAATTTGACCGACTTCTTATACTTAGCACGATAGAAGGAAGTCTGCTCTTCAAAATGAGACGTCTTCCAGAATTTTCTGTTGAGTTTTTATGGAGATATACGCATCATCGCAAATGCTCTAAAAAACAGAGCTCTATGAATATGTGTTTTTCTCACTATGCGTTTTTTCGATAGTCCCTTCAATCGGGTCACATTACGGCCCCTCGAAGAAATGGTTCGATCGAGCTCAAACTTTTACCCCAGATACTTTAGATTCTATCTCAGGATGTCAATTTTTCTTAAGCGTTTTCGATTTCAACTGTCGGAGTGAGAAGGTTTTCAAAATAAAAAAACGGTTTTTTATTCAGCATTTTTAGTACGAAAAATTCGAAAGAAAGTATCTGTGATAAATTTTTGAGCTTGGTCGGACCATTTTTTCGATTTTCTTTTTCGATGTCCTATCTCTGATATAAATTTCGTCTCGATCCGACATCGGCTTCTCCGGTTTCCAAGAGGGTAAAAAAACAGGCGATATCCTTAAGCTTTAAAATTCATTATTTTCTTACTTTCTTGTATTCTACAGCTATATATGCATAGAGAAGGAAAAGGTCAAAAAGAAAGAGAAAACGACATCAACGAAAAAAATGGCATATTTTGTACTACGTAGGTGAACTACCATACAAACCATAGTGTTGGATACTGTGAAAATTTAAGTGGAGCCACCTCGATCCAAATACTTCTGTATCCGACGAGATCTCTGTGTTGTGTAACGTAATCGACCATGCTGATTTCGAATATGTAAGTTTTAAAATGTTCTTTTCTCTACAAATATTCGGTAAAATTTTGATATGAACCATGTATTTCTGTTGGTGTCCCGTACGAATAAAATTAAAGCATTTTTAAAGAGGATCCACAAGTTAATGCGAGGGCTAACGTTTCTTGTATAAATTTTTAACTAGTAGAATGGATTGAGACGTGAATTATAAGCAGATTATTCTTACGTTGTTATGAGGTTTTGTCTTTTGTAGACTTTCTAATCTTTTGTTTTGTTTTTCTATATTGTTGTTTCCTAGAATTGTGCTAGTGCTACATAACCATCTTTCAGACATAAACCTTAGTTAATCACAATTTAACATGTATTTTCGTTTATAGTTTTCTGTAGTTTGTTTACAGTAACAGTCGCTGGTCTAAGCTGTTCACAAAGTGTTTCTCGACCTGAATTTGTCAACTAGCTAGAAGAAGGTCTTAAAGTTAGAGTGGGTCAGATTGATTTTTTCAGATTCGTATTGTGCGGCTTTACCGAATAAGGAGACTGATATACGTACGTGTAAAAACTAATTTATGACGACGCTTGAAACAGTTCGTTGTCAATCTAGCATTCTGAGGATAGATTCATGCAGAGACGGCGGAATCATGGGAGCCGTGGGTGTTTTTGCAACCACAGATTTTGAAAATTTTTATTTTCTTTCAGCAGACATTTATTTTTCTTTGTGTTCTTGTCCAGGAGCACCCATATTTTCAAAATCATTTCGCCGCTTCTGGATGGGGATACTTCCGAATAGAGATGTGCACGGGTACCGTTTTCGTACCCGTACCCAATTCGAAAATTTTTTTTCCACCCGTACCAGACCCGACCCGAGAACTTTGCATCCGTACCCGACTTAGGCCTAAAAATTTTCTCCTTTTCGTTTTCCAGCTAAAAACTTTTGTTTTTCGCCTGGAGATTATAAATTATCATTACGTTCTAAAGTAACCGTTTTTTAAAACTTCATGTATTTTAGCTAAAATCTTGTGTTTTTCCACTAAAATTTTGTGGTTTTCCACTGAAACCTTTCGGTTTTCGGGTAAATAAAAAAATGGAACCCGTACTCCTAACTGCTCTACCCGTACCCGATCCTTACCCGACAACTTCGTATCCGTATCCATCCTTCGGGTCTGGTTGCACATCTCTACTTCCAAAATTAACACAGGCGTCAAAGGCAGAAATAAACGTCCGTTGAGGATTTTTTCTTGCCAATGAGATTTAGTTATACACCTATGCAAGATATAGAAAGGTTCTGAAAGACTTGTATAAGTACGTTTGAACTCGTCGTTTGTTTAACTGTCAGCCTTTATAGAAATCTTCAAACATAAGTAATCTATATGTTTCGTAGGCACACACGTTTTTCACTGGATGTGGCTTTTCAGCTCCAAGTTGTTTGTTTACCTTGATGAGTGTCTGTTTTACTGAGTAGCCAACTGTTTCACTGATCAGTTCTAAGAAAGATTTTTAATTAGGATTCGGAAGCTTCAGAAACGCAGATTCTGCAATGTGGAAAGAATAATTGCGGAGTGTCTATACATCAATCTTTTTCCTGACTCTGAAAGTTCACTACAGTGAGAATGTCGTCAGCATGTGAGACTATACTGTATCATGGAAAAGTTTTGTTCATTACATTTAGAAGAACTATTCACGTTTGCTAAGGCCAAGTTTTTAAATCTTCGGATAAAGCAAAAAACAAGCGTAAATGAATAAACTAGCTCAAATTTGTTATGCCTCCTATCACATTTTTATCGTAAAAATTAAAGAGCAAATGTTTAACATTGAGAAGATAGAAACATATAATAAATTGCATCATTTTCCTATCTATCGATTGGCCAATTTTTTTTATGCTGGATATTTATCGTATTTGTTCTACACATAATGTAAGGAAAATATAATCTGTTGGCGAAAGATTATGATTTACGGCGTTGAAATTTGCGTATTATATCTCCCTCTCTCTATATATATACACATACATATACAAGAAATTTAAGCCTTAACGTGAATATTTTTTCGGTACTATTATCTATTTCATATTCGTCGATCAATCGGGAACAAAACATGAAATGAATCGACAATATCTAAAAAATTAGAAGAAAATGAGAATAACTTTTAATTTACTAATCCGAGCATACGACAAGGCCCTTTTAGTCTACAATTTTTGTATCACTGATATTTGATTGATCTAATAATGATTTTTAATACTAGATCAGCAATGTATATTTTATTTATTGTGAGACTGTCTCTTATTATAGAACGACAATTAAAAGACAAAAAACAAGAAATGAGTCAAGAAAAATATTTAACATTATATATCTAATTAACAACACGAATAACAAAAAATAAAGAAGAAATATCACATAAATATTTTTTTTTCTATGAAAATGACATTTTTTTTAAGACTAGAATCTCATATCTGCTTGCATGGAGTAGACATAAAAGATTCTCTTTTTTTCGTTATAAATATATATATATGTAAGAATTATCCATATGATTTAATAACAACTATTGTCTTGATGGGTGAATAAACTAATCCTATAAACATATATCTACTACTTACGTTTTGTTCAGATGTTTCTTGTAATCAATTCATGTGAAAATACTGACAACGAGTATGTATAAACAATAAAGGAAAAAGTTATTTGTGATGAAGAAGGAGAAGTGTCTATCCAATTTTCATTAATCATAATAATGAAAAAAAAAATGAGAAAAATTAGCTATGAAAAACGTTGTGAATCACATTCTTAGAAAGTTTTTAAACACTTAGATCTTCTTTGATTTCAGAAAACAAGAAGAGAAATTATAAAACATGTTTAGAATTCTGTGATCTTTTATCATTTTGTAAAAAGTTATGATGACCTATATAACCATCAATAGATTTCTTGCGTTGAAAATTATTTCAATAACGTTTTAGGTGTGAATATCATAAACGCTTGGTATATGTTAGATATATGCGATAATAGCACTGAAATTAAACACCTTTGTTTTACTTATCGAAATAAAAGAATATCGCCTTAGTTCGTTGTTATCAACTCGGTTAATATTGATACTTTTTTCATATACTTACATGCTAGTAATAGAGTACTTCTTTCTTATCCAAATGAGTCAACTATTAATTTAGATTAAAAAGTACAACTGTTTTTGTTTTTAGGTTTTTTTTTTTTTTCAATTGTATGTCACAGTTTCGTTGACAACAAACAACAGCAGTATTCGCTCTATCCCCCATCAAATTATCATTTAACCTTGATATATATGCTGCTTTTATACTTTTACATTTTTTTTTTTGTTGTTCTCTAGTTCTTTTTACCATTAGTATCTAATCTTATTATTTCTAACTATATTTTATTAGTCCTCCCGCCATATACTACACAAGAACTATTTCTAGTATAAGCAAACAAATCACCACACATGCATAAAATATATAATTGTATGCGTCCATACGCGAAAGGGAAACTCTGTTATTTTTGATATCAGTAACATGGTAATTTAACGCATTGTCTAATAACTTCTATCTTTCGACAAAGATCATTGATAGATTAGAGTCGAAAGTTCTTCTGGTAAAAATTTCAATTTGTTTGTAATATTTCCGATAACTATATGGTATTTATTAAACATTTTAAAATGGATGAATTCTATGTTGTATTTATGCTGTATAAAACATTTATATAAAGAAAATTTTATTTTATTTTTAATTTTACTATTTCGATTTTATTTTATGTCTGATACAGACAATACAGTTGTCGAAATGTTACAAACAAATTCAATATTCTAAAATGTACTATTCAATTTTACAAGAAAAATTTCAACTTTTATTTATCCCACAGTTTAATAAATAGTGTAATTTAGTAGATCAGTAGAGGAAAAGTATAAAAAATTTTCATGCTATTAAAATTAAATTTGAGATCTCTTATTACTTTACAAAAAAAGATTTCTATAAATTTATAATGTACGATTTTTAAAGATTACAAAAAGAATTACGTTGCCAATAGGATTATATCACTGTAAAATGTATTTCGATATTTTTATTGAAAAATGTTTAAACGAAAACCGCAGAACGTTCGGATTTCAAGCATTTTGAATTCGAGATTCTGACGCATCATGCATTTCGTAAAAAATTTCTTATTAAAGTATGGTTTAAAAAGGATCTTTGAGAAAACTGTTCATAATTCACAAATTTGTAATAGAAAATTTTTCATGAGTTCCAAATATTCCAAAATATTATTTACTTAAATAAGATCTCTGAAAAGCCTAGTCTGTGTTAAACAACAGTCCTTTTTTACTGACTTTTTTTTACACCTAAGGAGCACTGTTGTGATATTTAGTAAAATCAGCCGAACACTGAGTACTTTTAAAAAATAAAGTTTCAATAAGTTTTTACAGCTGTTTGTCTTTATTGAAGATATTGGATACTTATCTCGACAAAGGAGGAATGTTCATTGTAATCCACTCTGAATTCTGTCTATTGAATGGACTAAAAGTAAACTATTACTTATTTGCACAAGTAAAAGACAGTGTACAAAGTAAATCAATCTGTGAATATGAATAGACGTATCGCAGTCTTGTTTGTAAGACAGTATATCTTGAAAATATCTCTACACTACTAGGAAAATGTTTAGTAAAATTAATCAAGACAACGCTGAGCACTACCTTCTTTGCCTAAAATAAAACAGTAGTAAAATAGATAAATAGCAGAATAATGATCGACTGAAATATATTTTGATATTCTCGATAAGGACTACAGAATAATTTCAGCTAATATTTAAATAAGTCTTCAATCATAATAGAATTAAATGTAAACTAAAAATATGTATTATAAGATCAAACACGTTCTGAATGATCATTTTTTGTGATTCACTATTAGGTACAAAGTCTATTGGCATATAATATTTTTAAATTAAAATGGCTCGTTCGACATTTATTAGTTTTGATAATGAGGAATCTTCACACAGTTACTCATTAAATACGAAAGAACGAGAGTTCTCTTTTAATGATCATTCTACCACCGGTGTCACATCATCAAATAAACTGTTACATTTTCACCATCGTTTAATGCCCACCATATCAGACAGTAGCCGTATTATGACAATGCCGACGATTATTTCGGCAACGACACAACAACCGATTGTTATCACTAATAAAAATTCAGCCATTCCACAAATATCAATTTCCCCTCCTAGTACTCAATTGAAAGGTGATAACAACTATTTGTTTAATAACATATTGGAATCTGACGAAAGTTCAGATAAATGTTTACCAATAACATCTATTGATAATAAAATACGTTTAAATCCAAAAATGAAGCGAAATATTCGTGGGAAACGTCGTTCAACAGGAATAAATCCAGATCCCGCAGTACAAGTTTTCGAGGCGGTAAACACTTATATAAAATACTCATCTGTTATTTGATCATTAAAAATTGATATGTTTTTGTTTATTATCTAGAATTCTTCTCTCGGTGATGATGACGATTCACAGTCTGTGAATGATCAAATAATTATACGCACAACATCAAATCCCGATCAACATGAAGTAAAAAATACGGTATGTTTATTATGAACGAGTATTATTAAAAACTTTATTAAAATGAAAATACAAAAAAACAGCCATGTATCTCTAATCCATTGTTAAATTATCTTTCATTTTCATTTAAGCATGTAAGCAAGCAATATTTTACTGTTGATAGAGCAAGAGGGTAAGTGATAAAAATAATGTTACATGTTTTTATCATAAAAGTCAGTTATTTTTTAACAGACCATTAGAATGCAGTTCATCTATCGATGAAACTAGAAGAACATTTACAACTCAATCAACACCAGGTAACAGAAAACATTTTTGAGTAAAAATAAACGTTATAGCTACAAAATAAATATAGATTCTTCTTACTCAACATCAACCAAAAATTTAACTTCGAAACTGACGTCAAATTTAGCGGCTTCTTCTACAGTCTCTCAAAACTTCTTACCTGAAGAATTTGTCATTAAACGAGTAAGTACTACTAGTATCTGTTTCAAGATCCAAAGTTCTTCAATAACTCGAGAACGATAACAACTGAAATTTTCAAATGGCATACATGACGAGTGTTTCAAGAGTAGCTCGCATAGTTTCATGCAGCGTTCTTTGTACAAAACCGACTTCTCTAACCATCCTGGTTCTCGAGTAGAACACGCTGTAATATACCTCACGCTGTTCTCATACTGTAAATGTACGTTCTCGATCATGGTGAGTCTCTTGACAATGTTGTTTGTTAGAAAAGAATGCATACCCCTAGCGAAAACGATTTATGAAATATACACGAAAATACTCTAGAGTGGGTCAAATGTGCTTGTTTTTATATGGGCCAACATTTAATTTAAAATGACAACATTCATTTGTTGTTTGATCACTGAAAATTGATATGTTTTTGTTTATTATCTAGAATTCTTTTGTCGGTAATGATGGCTCAAAATTTTAACTCATTTTAGATTATTTGAAATGAGGGTTCTGTATTTTTGAGTTTTTAGAAATTAAATCGTGTATAATTTCATAAACCAGTTTTCGCTAGAGGTATGAATTTTTTTCTAACAAACAACATTGTCAAGAGACTCACCATGATCGAGAACGTACATTTACAGTATGAGAACAGTGTGAGGTATATTACAGCGTGTTCTACTCGAGAACCAGGATGGTTAGAGAAGTCGGCTTTGCACAAAGAACGCTGCATGAAACTATGCGAGCTACTCTTGAAACACTCGTCATGTATGCCATTTGAAAATTTCAGTTGTTATCGTTCTCGAGTTATTGAAGAACTTTGGATCTTGAAACGGATAGTAGTAGAAATATGGTACTTTTTTGAACAAAAATTCTACAATAATTGTTCATTGTGCAGCAATCTCAAGAAGAGAGCCATCATCGACGATATTTAGAAGAAAGAATAAATGTACTCGAAACATTACTGCTAGATAAAGACTCAATTATCCATGATTTACAAGAAAAACTAGATAGTATGACTAGAGTAAGTTAATATGTTGTTGAATATTTTTTTGACGCTTGAATCTTATCCTTTTCTTGATTTAGGATTTATCGGAGGCTGAACAAGAAATATACGCATTACACAAAGATAAACTATCGCTCATTAGAGCCCTCAGTGCTATTCAGGGGAGTCCACCTACAACCCCATCGAAACCTTGATTTCTTATATTGTGAAGAGACAAATGTGTATAGTTATCAACAATATGTTTTTTTATCTAACTTTTTTTTTTTATTAATGTTCAATTCACAATCTGGATCATGAATGATAGCCGGTGACATTTGCACAAAAAGTTTTCACATAAATAGAGTCGAGAAAACTAAACACTGTCTTCGTTATAATTCAAAATCTAGTATCGCTCAGAATATTATCTAGTTCAAAAAAATATATATATAACTGGTTAATAAATGACGATGAAAACGTATCTGGTTACTACCCGTGTCGTCTGTTTTTGTCATTATGCATGCTTGATAGTCTATGAAAATAGTAATCTTTGATTAATACACGTATGGTTTTGTCATAGGCTTATATGTTTCTCTGATATTTTCAGGTATAATCTATTGTTTCTATACTCTTTTCAATATCATTCTGACTGCTTATTTATGACTTTAAAATTAATTTCAGAAATGTCGTTCTATTTACAAAGATGTATCCGTTAAAACAAAAGTATAAAATGTGTTTTCTAAATGGAGCACATCATTTCTATCGGAAAATATGTGAAAATGTTTTCATTTTAGAATATACATTGTTCTTTATATATTATTTGAACCTTACAGTCTAAATTATTTGACTGGTATTTGAGATTTTCAATGAATTCTATTTTCACAATATTTTATCTTCCATGAGACACTTTTCACGTAAAAAATGTTGGATAATTTAAACTGAAGGATATTTGAGCATTTTAATATAGAAAATGAACACCGCTGAACGCGTTCAAAATGAAACATAGGGAGAGGTTTAACACTTTCAATTGCATCTCATTAGTTAAGGCGTTTTGAATACGTCTCCGATAGTTAAATTTGAGCAAGTTTAAACATGTATAAATGCGCTCAGAGATGCAAATACATTTGAATATATTCGACTCAGACGTTAAAAGATTTAATATCCTAAAAAAACGATAAACCTTATTATGTCAATAATTATTCTTTCTCATGTTTTAAAGATTAGTTTTGTACGTGTATGATTTATTAGAAGAAAGTATTTCAAACTCTATTGAATCATAAAACTTGGTAACATTTATTTTTCTAATAATTACATCATAAAAACGTTTTTATTAGAAAATATCTTAATGGTTGATTGCTGTCTGTAATTTTATATTCTTGGACGTTTTTTTTTTTTTTGTTAATTCAACAAAGAAAACAAGAAAAACGATAGGATAAAATATATTAACAAGTTTTGATGTAGAGACAGAAATATTTTAAGAATACATGTATTATATCACAGAAAAGGTGTTTTTTTCTATTAATTGATATAAAATTAAGTATAAAACATTAATATTATAACAGATAAATTGCATCCGAACATCACAATATATAACAAAAAACAACAACAACAAAAAAATAATAAAATCGATCTACACAAAAATATAGAGAGTAGAAAACGAAAAAAACAGCAAATAACAACAAGAAAATAGCAAACTACAATATATGGTGACAATAGATAAAGATACCAGAAACATTTTTAAAAAAAAAAGATGAAAAGAAAAATGAACAAACACACAAAAAGAAAAAGAAATGCAGTATGATATGTTGGAAACAAAAAAGAAATCAGACTTTTAACATCAATATAGACAAAACACATTTCAAATTACTCAATATACTTTACTAAATTCAATAGTTGCCAACAATTTATTATTCTATCGAATACTGCGTGTGGATGATGTGCTAGCTCGTTGAGAGAATAACAGAAATAGCACCAAATATATTCTAATACATATCGACATTAATATATTAATATTTTCATAATGAAATATATTATGATCTGAGTCGACAATGATCCAATAAAAGCTAAAAAATACCTATTAATTGTATTTGTTTCAAGAACTTATTGCTTGTTGTATTGTCATTTAAAGAACAAACAAAATGAAAGAAATTAACTTATAAAAATCACAGTTAACTTCAATAATTTGTAATTATATTATTAATCACATTGGTTGCTACTAACATATTATTTATTTAATTATTGAGATAATATATCAATTTTGTTGTCGAACTAATTTTATACGTTTCGGTTTTCCATGTGAGACCCCGTTTGAAATCCTGCTATTTTTCCTTCGCTATGATAAGAAAATAAAAACAAAAACAAATTGTTAATTATTAGTCGTAAATTATTTATATATTAAAATTGATGAAGAATATACTTTATATAATGACAATTACAAGTAGGCATACATCGATTAAGTAAAAACGGAAAATAATCGAATCGATTGTTGAGTTAAAGAAGTATTTTTTTTATACAAAACTTGTATAAATTCTTATCTAGGACCTATTGATTATAATCGATTAAAAGCATAACCAATATCGGTTAAGATTTAGCACTTAACCGACAATAACTGAAATAACTAAAGTAATCAGTGCATGCCTAATTACAACTGCTTCGTGCAACTTTTTAAACTAAAACCTAAAACATTCCAGCAAGACTGGACATTAATATATGAGAATAGAAAAAAATCAGGCTGTAGCTTAGGCATGATCTCAAATTTGCATCATCATGTATCTATTTTTCTAGTTTCATGCATTAGTAATAAAAAGATTTTTTTTCTTTTTTTGGATATAAATGAGTGAGTCGACATAAACATACCTTTAAGTGCAAACTAGCAAAAAAATAATTGAATATCGCTTTTTATGTTAAATTTCAGACCGCCACCACTAACCATAACCTACCTTATTATCTTTTGTTACTGTTTTTTGATCATTGAATTTACTAAAAGAGTATGAGGTTTGAAAATCGAATAACTATGCGTACCCTCTGAATTTTCAGTTTTTTTTTTTTTTTTGCTATATGAAAATACAATGTGACGTTTTCTTATATTCTTTTTTTTTTTCGACGTTAATAAAGATATACTGAAATAGTTTTAGTCCTACCTTGCATAGAGTGTTAAACGTGTACAAAACTGATTCCACCTAAAAATACAACTCAATAGTCAATTAATAATAAAGAAATTTCTTTTACACTAAATTACCAATTCACTTTTTGTTCCGAAATTTTTTCTGACGTTAATAATTGAATTGACGACATATGTTGTACGGGCAAATTTTTTGTCAATGGGTCATCATTATGCATCATAAACTAATAAAATAAAACGTAAATTTTATAAATTATTAAATAAGATCATGTTAAGAAAGTCAAAAAATGTACCTCTTGTGGAGTGAATACTTGATCACAATTGAAACAGTGAACACAACGATAGTCTGGTTCATCAAACCACGACGGAAATAATTGTCCAGTTGACGTAATTTCTTTATTGCTTATGGTTTTACAATGTTTTATGACTAGTTTTGCAATGCTATCTATTTCACTGCAATCTCTAGCTGACATTGCTTTTGGAAGATCAACACTTTTTGTACGACAAACAGGTAATGTTAATTCGACTGATTTTGGTTCAGCACGTTGTAGTTGTTGGGGAGGATGTGGTATTGATGATGGGAGTTGTTGATAACTTTGAATATTGTTACCAAAATTATTATTAATAGGATTTTTAGTTTTTACTAAAGTTGACGAAACACCAGTAGTACTTGTTACTGGTGGTGTAGAACAGGAAAAAATAGTTCTTTTAGAATTTAGTGATGTAGGCAATGGTACTAAACTTGAGTGAGCTTTACGCGCAGTAAATTGTGGATTATTTATGTCTGTAGTTGCTGTTGAAGTTGGCGAAGATAATACTGAATGTTGTTGAATATTGCTTTTGAAAGTTAATGGAACATATGGTTGACTATGGTATGAAGATGGTGTTTTTGTACATTGATTATAAATTAGTGATGGTTGTTGATTGCCATTTAAACCATTTCGAGGAATATCATGTTGATATAGTGTATGTTGAGGATAATTGAACTCTGAATGAGTATTAGTGGCGGTTTGAGTAGTCCAAGACGTGTTTTTTGATGTTTGAGTATCAACCATTCCAGGCTTGGTATTAAATGAGTCAGACGACATTTGATGACCAAAATTATTATGTAAATAATTATTATTATCGTGTACATTATGGCCATATGGTTTCTGAGCAGTTGTCATATACGAATTATTTTGTTGTCGATTATCGAGACGCTGTTGTTTCGGTTGACTCATATGATGAATTTCTGACATAGTGCGTTTGGCATTAGGTGGATGTGTTTGTGAAATTGAATTTTGTCGGTATATTTGTATCTTTTCTTCTGGCAAATGACAGCAACTTGGATATGTGGATTGTGGTGCAGCTGCAAAAAGAATAAAACGAATAAGTTGTTATGAGAATCATATCAGAACAAAAAAATAAAGTTAGTTTTGAATTGTTGAAAAGTGCTTTCTCGTATTTAGCACAGTCAATAACTCTGAAGATTTTCTATTTTTGGCGAGAGGTACTTCCAAAACCTTAGGAAAAATTCTGAAACAAAAAAGTTTTCATGGGAAAATAATATTAGTTTCAAAATTTTTCCTAAACTTTTGAAAGTATGTAAGTATGTGAAAGTAAGTTTATTTTTTTCCGATGATATGGAGAGAAAATGTCAGAGTCGTTTCCGAATGTAGACAGTTATTGACGCTACCCACTGAGAAAAAATGCGATGTTTGTCTGATAAAAGCGCGTGTTTTTACACTTTCGACGCAAGATCACAAAGAGAAAATTTCTGAGATGTTTGAGAAGAAACGTGCACGATTGTTTCATTTTCCGTAAGATGTCCTCAGTTTTTTTTAGCGAGCACTGCATATTTCTAAAATAACTTTTTTCAAATTAAGAAATTAGCCATACAGTCGCATTTTTATTTTAATTTTAACTCTATATAAACAGATGAACACATGAGTTATTAAGTTTCATCCAAATTTTAAATGAAACTTTTTATTTCTTGAAGAATTTTTTCATAAATTTTGAAAATTCAATGTACAGTTTCGGAAAGGTCGATTTTTAAAAAAAAATCTTAACGTGTAGCTGAAGATTTGCGCTTTTATATGGTTCAAGAGTAAGGTATTCACTTATTTAGCGAGAGTTAATATTAAAATGAAAATGCGACTGTATGGCTAATTTCTTGATCTGAAAAAGTTATTTTAGAAATATGAAGTGCTCGCTAAAATAAACTGGGGACAACAAAAAACGAAACAATCTTGCGCGTTTCTTCTCAAACATCTCAGGAATTTTCTCTTCGTGCACTTGCGCAGAAAGTGTCAAAACACGCATTTTTATCAGACACAGAATGTTTTGAAATTTTTTTCAATGAGTCAACGAATAAGTGTGCAGCTTGGAAAACATTTCTAAATTTCATTTCTCTGAGACTAAATTTGTTCTGTCTTGCAGAGTCTCATGACCGAACAGGGTATGTATTAGCTATTTACCAAAATGTATACATGGAGAGAGTTCGAAAACTCTTGAATTTTTAATCAAAAATTTCTTCACTTACTCGCTGAATGAATGGATTGGCTACAAGAGGTACAAGAAAGGTCTTTTGATTCGTAAGTTGTATGTTGTGGAGCTCCGGTAGGTATGGTAAATGGCGTATGTTGTGAATATGACGGATGCATGTGGTTTGTTGATGTAAACGTTGGCTTTTGAATAGTAGATACTGTTGCGTTTGAACTCTGATGATGAGAAGTCGATGGCGACTGTCTGGATAAGTAAAAATTGGATTCTGTGTGATGAGGATCCGTTTGATTTGAATACTGTGTATATTTATATAGATTTTGATTGGCCCATGCTGGCCGAGTAGATGGCTGATGATAACAATAATGTTGCTGGTGATGATTTGAAGCATTCAATGTTAACGGCAACGTTTGTCGAAGTTGTGGCGGTGTTGTTGTTGTTGGAATGTCACGTGAATAGCAATAGGGATCAGCTAATGTTGTTGCCGTTTCTGGTTTAGGTTTTGGTATTTGTTCAGATGATCGCTTCTGATTCAACAAATCATTTGAAGCTGTAGTCTGTAGTCTTGTAAAGTAGTCAGGTAGAGATGTTGGCGATGTTATCACCATTCTCATAGAAGATAAATTTGAATGTGATGATCGTCGCGAGTCATGTATTGCCATTGAGGTTGTTCCAGGTAAAATAGAATTATTTGGTATCAAAATTTTTGAGAGAGAATTCTTTCTTTGCTCTATCAAATGTAAATTTGGCTTTTCAGACGACGAAGGTGCTAATGAGATTGTTGTAGGCAATGTGGATGTTTTTGGACACTGTCGATCTGATTCAGATGTACCCAAATCTTGACGAAATGTTTTTCTTGTTTCTTCCGGTGTGCATGATATTGAATGAGTGATATTATGAATCATGCTACGAACCTCAAGACCTAAAACAAAAGCGTCCATATTTAACATGGATTACTCGTTTTCTACAAACAAAAAATAGTACTTTGCAACATCTCTTGTTTTTTTAGACTTGTCGCGACCTCATAAACATTTTCTTCGACATCCACAATCATTGGATATGCTTCTTCGGTGATATCAATAGGTTCTTCTTTTATTTTTGTTATATTAGGAATACTATTGTTTGTGTTTGAATTGTCTAAATTAGAATCATCTAAGCTTTTTACGAATCCGCTATTCGAAGGTTGACTAGTAGTACTTGTGCAACTTTTATTATGACATATCGGTAGACTATTTGATCGTTTTATTGATGCTGTAGTATTTTTTCCATTCAAATGTTCCTTCACATGTTGATTATTATTTTCAGATGATAACGTAGTTAGTCGACGTCCATCCATATTCGAACGATATTTAGAGCGTGATTGAGCGGTTGTGTTAAAGTTTATCATTGATGATGATGATGATGATGACGATGATGATGATGATGATGTTGTGTTTTTTTGGGAAAATATCGGATTAGAAATTTCTGTTATATTATTATTAATAGCCGATTCACGTTTACTTTCGATAGAAGGCGAATCCAATGTTTCATTGTTATCGCTCGTATCACTATTATAAGAATTTAATATACGTCGTTTAAATGGTACATTATGATGCGATGTATTATTTGTTAATTTTGTTCGTTGATTATCATCCACTGATACTTGTCCAACCATCACAGGTGTTTCTTCAGATTGTTTATTAACTAATAACTTTGTGCTAGAATGGAGAATACTGAAGAATAAAACTACATGTTTTCGGAGTTCTTCTCAGATCTTTTCTCCTCTGTCAATACGTGTTCGCTTCGTCTATCTCAAACATGACACTAAATTAGTAGACATTGTTCAGAATTTAAGAGTTTTCGTAAACGAAGCCGAAGTTCTGCTAAATAAAGTACAAACTATGAAACCATCTGATTTGATTCATACCTTGTCGGTTCACTTTTTGTATTGATTGCTGCTGAATTTGGTGTAGTTGAATTATTTTTCAAATGTCCATTTCGTTTATACGGCAAACGATGGTATCTATTGTATTGATTTTGCATGTGCTTCATTGCAGTTTGTTTGTGTGGCGAGGTGAAAATACTATTTTTTTGTTTCTGTTGGCTTTTAACAGTATTTAAACTCTGGTCATTTACTGATTTTTTATTACCACTATTATTATCACCATAACAGTCATTCGATGGTTCATTTATTCTATCTTGTAATTGATTAACTCGTAAATAATCTTCCTGTTGTATTATCGGATGAGAATAATCATTATGCTTTTCTTGATGAAGTTTTGACTTGTTTGATTTATAATATTCGAAATTATCTTTTAATGCTTTTGTGGACATTGAAGTTAGTGATTGTTCATTTGTTGTTGTTGTCAATTGATTTTGATATGTTTTATTTGAATAGATGTTACAGCTTACATTACCGAAAATATAAATACCAAATTGTGGCTGAGTCTGAGTAGTTGGCAATTGTTTTGAAAATGAATCATTTTCTACTGCAACCGACGGTTCTACTGGTGGTGTAATTGCTTGTTTCTGCGCTGATTTTTTTTTAATAATTTTTATCCGCTTTACAGGAGCAGAAGTTAAATCGTCACTCTTAACTGACGGTGATGTCGGTGATAAGCGAAATCGATCAATAATATCATTGGTGATTGTTGTCATTCCACTTGTTTGCAAACTTGGTGTTGTTTCAAATTTGAGATTAGGTTGTGAATGATGTGATGTTAATGCTTCACCATCAAGATATGGAAAATCGCGATACGAGGAAAAATGTTCAACTAAAAGTGAGAAAAATCAAATTCATGTTAAGAGCAATAGTTTTATTTATAATGCGTATATTTTTTCTATGATAAACTAACTATACAAGTGAAATCTACTCCGGAACTATTCAAATGAATCTGCGATGAATCTCTTCTTTACAATATCAGTCTGTTCTAGCAATTACAGAAGTCATGAGACTATCTTTAGTCAAAAACATTTTAGCGTATTTCCGATTGAATTTCAATTGATGAAACACGTTGTATGCAACGATTAGGTTTATTTTATAAAATCTAGTGAAGCAAAATATCCACTTCTCTAAAATCTTGTATGCCTGTAGATAAAACTACACTGACATATCCGTCAAGAAACCGAACAAAATAAAGAATACCTATCCTAGGAAAATCCTCGTTGTATATGAAAATTCGTTTAATTTATCAACTTTAAAACTATGGAACGAACTTCCTATTGAAATTCGCTTTATTACTACATATCAAAATTTAAATATGCTGAACAATATTTGCTGAACGATATATGCTGAACGAATTTAACGTAAGCGAGAGATACGGTAAAACGAGATATCCTATTCCTCCAACAGGGTATAACAAGATTCATTTTGCACGTTGCAGAAAAGGGTTTGCGCAATTGACCTGAGGAAAAAACGTTTTTGTTCTAGAAATGATCTTAGTAAAGCTTATATACGTTAGGCTATGCTAAACATTTGAGTTCAAAAGTTTGAAGTACTATCGAGTTATCATTGTTACAAGGGACAAAATGGGTCTCTCATCAAAAATGCTAAAGCTTTTTTTAGGAGTACAAAGTTGCGAGTGGTTTCAAATGAAAGTAGACATCTAAAAGTTTACGGAACAAATTTTTGAATTTGGCTTTCGTTCAATTCCAGCACAAATTTCAAGTCAAAGCTCCGAAAAAATCCTGAAATCTAAGATAGTACTACTTAGTTTTCTCGAAACCGGACGCAAAATTCAAAAATCTGTTCCACAGATTTTTAGACTTATGTCTCAACTCCAGAATAAAAAACAACGAAGGTTCTACGGTGAACTATCTATGAGGAGTAGTATTTTTGCTGTGCCAAAAGCACGTTGTGAGAAAAACATTAAACAAGTTTGAAGATCATTACAACAGTAGAGGTAAGGTTTAATCTAAACTCTCTCAGAAATCCATCGAAAACTTTTTTTTATTGAAAGCGCCACAGATTCTGAAAGAGGGGACGCCAAAGTATCTAACTAAGCAATAAACTCAATTTCGATTTTTTTTGAGAAAAACACTGATTTCTGGGGGGTCCCATTAAATGCAGATTTATTTGGTCACACTGCGGCTAGGCAGAATCAGTGAAACACTTTTTATTATCCTATAGTTTATATTGAAAGGCTTGACATACTCTCATACACGTACTGAATCCTATTTTGGGTCGGTGCAACCCTCTCTCTTTATTTTCTTCTATCTGGTGTCAGGCAAATAGATTAATAGAAAGTTAAAGATATCTATTGTGTAATTCTGAAATTTATTGACGAATCTGTTCGTTTCGGGACATAAAGGACGTTTTTCTATCGTTATATAATTTTCTCTTCCACACATATGGCGCCACAGAAAAGCCTACCTCTGTTACTACTCTTATGTTACTTGACTTTGTTTGTTAGTCACTTTCTTTTCTCTCTCTTTTTGGTTTTATTTTTTTTCTATAGATCACTGTTTTTTTAATTTTAGTCGTGTCTGTTCCTACTATGTTACCGTATTCTCTCTGCTTTCTTACAGTACCATGCGATAGGCATAGCCAGATTTGATCACTATTTTCTAATAAAAAAATTTAAGTTAAGATCAAACCGACCATGTATGTAGCAAATTATCTAGCCATATGTTAGTGTATTTGGTTTAATATAAGAAGAGATTTTGTGAAACGTATAAGGGTACAAGATCATGATCATAGAGAAAACTAAATTATGGCACTTTCTACTAAGCTAGAGCTCAAGCTCAATAGATGGTGAAATTTTTGAGATCAGAACCAACAAATTAAAAACAAAAAATTTGATTCCTAATGTTTGATTATTCTAGTCATTTTTAGAAATTTGCTGTTGCTGTCGTACTAGTAGCTTTGTTTTATTTTCAAGTATTTAACAGTATTAAATATCACCTACATGGACCGGTATCATTCGTTGACGTCGATGTCTGTTGCCTTCTAGATTTCATTGTTGAATTCCAATCTCGGAGTTCATCCATTAACTTCTTTAAACGTTGTTCACGTGTTACTATTTGCTTCTTTTCTTGTTCATCTGTTTGAAAAAATGTAAAGAAAAAAAACCATAAAAAAAGCGTATATATATCTACATGACTCTGTATAGTAGTTAAAAAAAAAAGAGTATGATGTGAAAACGGATCTGTTTTGAAACAAATATAGTAATTTTTTTTCTCTTTTTTTTTACCTTCTGTCATTGCCATTATTGTTCTCGACATGCCTTTTAATAACGCTAATAATTTTTGTAGAAATTCATTATAACCAATTGATATTAGACGATATTTAATATCATTAAATTTTTTAATCAATTTTAACGATTCTATAGCCATTTTTTCTGTTAATGTTACGTGATGAATGATAGTGTTACGAGGCGATAATGGTAGACAAAACAATAAACTAACATATTCATCACATGTACATAATGATGAGAACGATTTGTAGTATAAATCTTCGATACAATAGAATAATGAACCATTACGATTAATCGTCAAAATATTTTGTTCACCGAATGGTAAATTTGTAATACATTCAGAAATAAGTCTCTTAGTTGTTGTATCTTGATCTTCATCTATGAATTGTTGCTCATTAACAGATTTTTTTTTTTGAGTTTTACGTTTATTGGTTACGAAAATCTTACCATAATCAAGTAGTTTGGCATTCCGTTTTTTAATCATAATTGTTTGAGGATCAATTTTATCGATTAATTTCATTATTTCACAACCTTCATCGTTCATCTTAAAATCATCTTCTGATTTGATCTGATTTTCATTCTGAAGTTTTTCATGGCTACATTCTAGCTCTATATGTTGTTCTTCTGGCTGTCTCAATTGTTTTTTCGCTGGTTTTCGCTGTTGACGATTTGTTTTTTTTTTAAATATTTCACTTGCATTATTCACATTTTTCAAAATACTACTTGCTGCCTTTTTTTTCTCTACTTTTATTGTTTTAACATTACTGTTGGACGGATTAAAGACGTCATCTTTATGGTTATTTGTTATAATAGTTTGTTGCTCTGAAAATATTAAAAATCACGCTATAATACACAGATTCGAACAGATATCTTACATCTGTAATTAGAATTAAAGTATCATGATTACATGTGCTGCCATCTTCCTCAGATAACTTTAATCATTCAAACTTTGTGTGTTCACACAAGATGATAAAAAATCTTGGACGCAAAATTAAATGAGCTCGGAAAGACGAAATATTTAAGCTCGGTATATTTAATTGGCTTTAAAATGATAGAAATGGGCTCGGTTATAATAAAATTATGTTTTATTTATATAAATGATATATTTGAGCTCGGCAATTAATTTATACTCTGAAAAGATGCAAATGAGCTCGGTTAATTTTATTTTTGTCGGTAAAAAGCGAAAAATGAGCTCGACAATTATTTTATGAAAATTAATTAATGATTTTATCAGTAGCAAAGTATATTTAATAAGAAAAAAAAATCGTTCGCG